GCAAAGATTTGGTTCGGCAGGAAAGGGGCCTGGGGCCTGGCTAACATGGTAATGGGAGGGGTTTGAGGGGATACTCTTCTCCCTAAATTTCATTCTATGTTGCTTTTGGGGCTCATCCCTCCAAAATCGCCCCCTTTGGATACGTGCTTGACGCCAAGCGCCTTCAAAGTTATTTCCTGCAAAGATGTAGACACCGGCCTCATATAGTTTATTTTTACGAAATCGCGACAGATGCGATTTTAATTCAATTCCCCAACAGTCCCAGAACGGTGAAACACGTTTTGGCATCGGCGACCATTCAGAATATCGAACAGTCCCGATCGGTCGAGCAACACCGCTCCCAACCTAGTTTATAGATTATTCGTGCCAAGCAACAGGGATTTCACTTAGCGTCCCTGAGCTCCGAGAACGACCGAGCGGTGCGAATTTTACTGAGAAGTGGACCCTAAACATCGCGCGTTGGCACATTTTATTCATTTTATGACCCTCCCCTCCCCGCTGAGCCCGCGCGTTTCGACGGTCCAACCTGAAAGGGTCAACATTGTTCTTGTACAAAGCTCTCCGTCACGTACTAACCCCACGTCCCATTGCTGTAGCTAGCTTTCGTGAGCGCCACCTCTCCCTGCGCCGTGATTCTATCTCGAGCAGAAATCTTAGCCGGAACATTAATTACCTCGCGGGAGGCGAGACAGGGAAAGGGGCCAACAACACTATCGAGACTTGCCGATAAAATTAGGGAGGTTTAAACGCTGAGCAGTGATCTCGAATTTCTCAATAGCATCGAACCATATGTTATTTGTCTATCAATCTCAATCATCAAACCGCAAGAAAATTAATTAGAAACCGTGTTTTGAAAGATTTCTATTGAATCAGTTGTCAAATATTGGACATGAATGTAACTGTGGAACTTGGAGTACAAGGTGCATAAGCGCAGTTTTTGCTATGTCGAAAAATACGCGTTTGAAGTTTTGGAATTACACGGATCCTTACGGCGGAGACAAAGTTCAAACTGACTTTTTGATGCTTGAATATTGGAATTTGGGAGCGAATTAATCATAGAATATGAATTAAGACTAGTTTCACTGTGATAATTAATATCTCAATGTTTTCAAAAACTGCTCTTGGGAGCCTTGTCCCTCAAGCCACTCAATTATTATTAAAAAATTTCTAAGTTTACGTTGAAAAAATGATGTTGGCGAACATAATTTTCTGGAAGACATTTTGATACTGAATGATGATGTTTAGCAGCACCACTTGATTATTCCACCCGATTTGCTATTACAATTAGTAACGGAGGCCTACAACGCAACATCGTCGAAAAAAACCGCGGATATTCAAAAAGTGGATTATCGCGATTCTATACCGTAGCTTTGTCTCGAAGCTATGTTGTTTCAACCAGGTTTTTAACTGGAACTTCAAACCACCATGACACCGGTTTGGTTTGGTATTGTTGGGCGTTTTTTACCCCCAAATGTTCGTAGAATGTTCTGCTTCCTGCGATCAATAACTCTTGGACGAAGGCTCTTTTACCCGCGGACGTTGTTTTCCTTACTCTCCCTTTCAACAATGTATAATCTTAAAGTTCTACACTGGAGAGCACAAACAGTCCACGAAACGCTGGCTCGGTCGGAGGAGGAAGAAAATGAGAAAGAAAAATAACAAGGAAAAATGACGTGGGGAAAGAATAACAGAGAGGGGAAAATAAAAGAGCGGGGCCGGGCTGCGTGCATGCACTTTAGGTTGAAAGGGGGCGCCGCCATGCCGACATTGCAAGTGGTGAGAAATTTGCATAAGTGCAACGTTTTCCCGATTTAGTATATTGCTCCACGTTGCCGCAGCGCTCTTATAATACACAATGGAAAAATAACTTCTAAAGTTTTAAACAGGTTCAAAGTAGAGTACCTGTGTAGCGAGAGTATGGACAGATGTGAAACTCCAAAAATCCATCAAGCCTTCACCGATGCTTCTGCGAATAAAGTTAGGGCCCAGAAATGCGGCCAGCCTATGCATTTCAATTATCCAGAAGGATTTAATAATAAAATTGTTACGAACCGTCGTTTATAAAGCACGTATTTGACTCAGTTTTTGCATAAATTTACTCATTTTAGCGGAAGAACGCTCATTTCTGTACATTCTTGGCCATCTTGGTTAGAATTAGAATTTGCATACTCTGCAGACTGGCACTAGTGAAATGTTGTGTAATAGAAGCTGGTTAGAAGGATGACTGCCATTTTGGGCCCTAAGACCTACATGAAGCGATCAGTCCATACTCTCGCTATTAAGGTACTTTAGTTCAAAGGCAGTCTCGTAGCCTAAGGGGAGGGGCGAAATTATTTCAAAGGGAACTTAGGGACTTACTTCATTCAAAACTCATGACATTTATCTCAAGTAGCACGGAAGGTTCAATTTAGAATTGAACAATTTTTGAAAAGCACATGTAAGGAAACCCTTTTAGTTTTTTTCCAGTTAAATGCATGTAAAATTTCCGTTAACCAAAAGTTGTGAAAAAAAATTGGCTTCAAATTTTTGTTACATTTTAAAATTTACTCAAATTGATGCTAAACAAGAAATAATCTGCAAAATGTGCAACATAAAAAATTAAAATTGTATGTAAAGTTTTTGTAAAATTTTGTTTAATTTTACTGAAATAAAGTGGTAAAAACTTAAACAATGAAAGTGCAAGATAGCACTTTTACGAAAAAATAACCGAAAGGGCTCCACAACTCGGATGATTTAATCTACCTTTTAAAGAGTACTACATTTGAAATTGACGAGTTCTTTAACAGTCAAAGTTAATCGGGTGGAGCCAGAGGAAATTCGCGATTGTATAAAGTAATTTCGTACAATTTGTTAGAGTATTTCTTAGAATTTTAGGTATCATCCCAAGCTTAATTTCATGAGGCTATTGATCGTAATCGCAATATCACTTCGTCTCACACTGGATGAGAGAGAAACATAAGAGTAGAAAAGTAGCTAGTGGGGTACTTTTGACAACGATGCGACGCAACCCACCTCTTTCTTTAGATCCTTTCACCCGTTTCTTTTCGAGCGGTAATCATCCCGCTGAAAATATAAATATTGATTTCTATTGATACGATACAGAACGTATTAAACGCTTATTTTTAGACAGTCCACCCTCCTCTCCACAAGTGTATACATTGAGAATTTTCTCCCTGTATTTCCTAGTTCTCTTATTCCTCTTCAGATCACGAGTCTTCGTTTGTTTCTTATTGCAACTTAGACCTCATCGTAGGAACAATATTCAATCTCATCCACCAAATAACCAGAATTTCAAATGTTCCTTGAAGAAATTTTACAAACGAGTAGTTTCTAGTATGCCCTGGTAAAAATTGGCAGTAGAATCTGTGTTTCAAAATACCATAGACCTACAGCCGGCTGTAAGATTTCCAATAACTTCTATAGCCAGCTACACAATTTCTTATAGCCTTATATAGCCGATGGCGATTAAGCAACAGCCAGGCGATAAGGTGTATGCTAAACGTTACTAATTACGGATGCTAGGACTTAGTGAGTTTTTGGAATACTGCTTTCTTTTTGGGCCGCAGTATCTTGATTCATTTTGCGAGGAAAGCTCCGTGCTTTTGATGGATGCCTACCATTACTAATATATTAGAGCGCCTTCAGTTTCGTGTGATACTGTGCAATACCTCTAGTGAGAAATAGTTGCTTCAAGCGCCGTGGCTGGCGGGCAGCCAGTGCGAAAGACGCATTGGTGCCTACAAACCTAACAGGGATACTGCGCAATGCGTGAAGTATCCCTGATAGGTTTGTAGGCGCCAGTGCGTCGCCGCTCCGCTTTGTGTTAGGCTTTAATATTTAATCTGGCGGAGTCAGCGTTATTCAACTCATGATTTTGAAATGTTTGCACATCCTGTATGGATTATTCTCATTTTAATTGATGAATAAAAAATATGTATTAAAGGAAAATGTGTGTTTTATAAATATTAAGGTGGTTCCGTATCAAACTTAATGATTTCCAAAGCACACGAATTTCTACACAATTTCTTAAACGAATTCTTATATTATAGCCTATTTTTTATTTATATTTATTATTTCTTTTAGTCTTTTATAATCGATGATGAAAAAGCAACAGCCAGGCGATAAAGTTTAAAACCCGGCGGTAGGAACTATAGCCCGGCTGCATTATTTTTTATCGCTTCGTATAGCCCGGCCGTATGATTTTCTCCGCATTCTACAGCAGGCTATATGATTTTCTGTAGCCTTCTTTAGCCGGCTATAAGAATTCCTATGGTATTTTGAAACGCAGCTCAAATTTTTACCAGGGTGAGGTATAGATAATTTGTGATGTAATCATGCAGGTTAACTGTTGTTTGTGAAGCTCATTCGTAAGAATGTATGATGCTGCAAGCTATGGCGTAGTATGGGTGGACCAAATTTTGCAATACGGAACCACTATTTCTAACTCGTTTTAGAAACAACATATATGCCATTGGTTTCCCTATGCAGGAAGGTGCTCTTATAGAGGAACTTCGGAAAGTCGTCAATTGACATAAAGTCCACAAGCCTGGGTACTCGAGAATGGGGCTAGGGAATGTATTTGACAGGCATAAGATCCACACTCACGGGTTCTCAAGACTAGTAGGTACCGTCGATGGGCTTAGGAATGTCGTTGATAGACATAAAATCCTCAGCCAAGACTGCCAACCAATTTCTGCAACGATTTAGAGGTCGATTTGGCCAATGATGATTTCCGGATCTTGAGAAATTTTTTTAAAAAGTTTCTGCAAGTCACGTCAACCTCTAGTTCGTCAGATATTTCTCTACACAATTGAACCGACTTACCTTTTGAAAGTGTGCGTCCTGCATGAATATGGATCTCATTCAAAGTTCCTGAGTACGTCAACCGTCAGCTCCTTGGTATTTCTCACTTTCCCATTGAAATTCAACGGATAGATTCGTGTACATTTTAAAACTCATTAAAGTCCTTTAGTTTCTAATTAGTGAGAGACGGCACTTACGTGGAAGTTCCCAACTTCGTAGTCATAGTCGAAACCCTGCATTTGTAGCATCAAATTTGGCATTGCAAAAGACAGAGATGCGTTTACGAAGACGTTGGAGAAGTTCGCCCTGAAACAGAAGGACAGTATTCATATACTCATTAGATTCTTCTACGTTTATCGGATTCATTTCTCTTAAATCATAATTATTTTTCCTGATGAATGATGAAATGAGTCTTTAAGAAAGCTAAAAGGTAATGCTCCTCTCACTAGTAAAAAGTATAATTACTTGCTCCAGTATGTATTATTCAGAGAAAAGAAAAGAACTACATTATGATGTATTTAAGGTATTTCCAAACTACCATCGAGCTTATCTTTGGCTTTCAAACGATTTGGTTCCTTTTTGTTAATGAAGTGATCATTCGGCGGTACGGCACCTTCGAATAACGCCATCCTTGTATCAAACCCCTTTTGTCATGGGAACGGAGTTCCCCATGATATTAGAATCGTTCCGTTGCTTTCGCTATGGAATTCCCTATACCTCTGCGACCTTGAGCGTTTCGCCCAGTCTCCGATTTTTGGTTGATTTTCCGATGTATCAAAAACCGTTGTATTTTTTAGCCAATCATGTCTCTACGTCAAGTTGTGTTGATTGCTAAAATTCGCTTTCAGCTAGTTTTTTGCCACCTGGAGATGTCGTGTCTGACTGGTAAATCTGCGCAGAACCACGAAGTTCCGTTTTTAGGCAAATTCTTTTTTTTGGGAGGTTCTGATTGGTTATTTTTCGCCATCAGTTTTCTGTTCGTTGGTGCAAAAGATCGCCTACCTCGTTGCTCTTGAGAAGCCGCCATTATCCCACCTCAAATTTTAAACATAGATATAAAGAAATAATAACCATCGTACAAGGTGGAAAATTGCTCTGGAGGACCCGTTACGGATATATGAGCCAAAATCAGAACTCGATTGATGGATTTAATCCATGAATACAGAAATATTGCCTCAGCTTACTGCCGCGATCGCAAATCCATGGTGAGATGAACCTCGTGACACATGACAGCATAGGTAAACAATGTCTCACAGAGTAATGCGGTTGATCCGTTGTGTCTTATCACGCCAGTGGCCGAACCGTTGAAATCTCAAGGACGTCTTTTGTGAAGCCCCGCTCAGCGTCCGAGATCACTTAAGTGTTCTCTTTTTCTCAATGCATATCTGAACAGCGAAATAGCTCAACTGGCTGCGTTACCGTTTTGCCTCTGGGAGAGTGACACTTTTTGTGCGAGCGGGGGTTCGAATCTCGCAGGGGACAGTTAATTTTTACTGGTTGTATTGAATGTTTTAGACCAATCATCTAACAATAATTAATACTTGGCAGATTAGGAAGCACATAGGTCCCTTATGATGCGTATTCGAGCATATGTGTAGAGTGGAAATATCATACGTAGGGTGTCCCAAAAGTACCGGGACTGGTTCTGTAACTTCAAAATTAAGATAGATACAGACATGATTTTGGTCTCATTTTAAAGATCAACTCAATACCTATCGATTAAAACCAAGATCAGCTCAATCGAATAAAAATTGACCGAGTTATGACAATTTGAAATTAGTGAGGAAAGTTTACCCCTACGGTTTTTAGGAAGATTTTTCGCTTACCAGGATTTAAAAAGTTAATATTCGTATCCACTTTCCTCCGAATCTTCCATAACTTCCTTTTGCTTTTCAAAGTACCGTCCATCAAACCGGATGCACTTTTTCATGCGCTCTTGCCACTTATCCAACATTGTTTTCCTGAATTATTCCTCTGGGATGGAGTTGAAGAAGTTTTGAATTGCATTCTGGATTTCGGTCTTCGATACGAATCTTCGTCCGCGAAGCTCCTTTTTAAGCGTGGGAAACATCCAAAAATCACATGGAGCCAAGTCAGCGCTATAAGGGGGATGAGGGATTGTTTCAACTCCATTTTTACTCATAAATTCACGTGTTAAGCTCGATGTGTGAGGCTGCGCATTGTTTTGATGGAGTATCCACGGAGCTTTCAAGTCCGACGGTTTCCGGGAAATGTGCATTCTCAACTCCTTTACTACTTTGCAATAATACGCACTGTCAACTGTTGTGTTTGATGGTACAAAATGTTGATAAATGACACCTCGAAAATAAAAAAACACAAAACGCAATAGTGTATTTCCTTCGGAAAATACACTAATAAGCATCACTTTATCGGCCGACTTTTCGATTTACGGCGATGAAGAATCTTCCTTAAAAATCGTAGGCGTAAACTTTCCTCGCTGATTTCAAATTGCCATAACTCGGTCAATTTGTATCCGATTGAGCTGATCTTGGTTTTAATCGATAGGTATTGAGTTGATCTTTAAAATGAAATCAAGATCATGTCTGTATCTATCTTACTTTCGAAGTTACAGAACAAGTCCCGGTGCTTTTGGGACACCTTACGTATACTTTACGCCGAAAAAGCGAACCTGAAACTTAAATGCGTTAACTTCCGAAAACCATATATAATTCAACGAAAATAAATAATTGGTACATAACAGCTTTCTTGTATGCAAAGAAAATAATTAAAAATGTTAAAAAAGAGATGTCAACACAAAATTACATAGCCCCTTCAATTCAGAAGATACTACAAACGAACTGTACCTTAACATTTTCATATCCCAGAAGCTAACGTTCCCATGACGAATATTGCTATCGCTAGCGATTGCAAAATCCAACTTGTTGCATATTTACACATATGTGTACATATATGTAATTTAACTTTCTAATTTAATTTAATTTTCTTTTTTACAAAGTCTGTACGAGCGCAACAATGTTTCTGAATGCATTTACGCAAGCCCAAGGTTGAGTTCTATTGGTTAAAAATGACGGAACTCACTCCAGCGTTGCTAAATTAGGTTAAAAAACGTGTTTTTTCGGCAACCTTGGTCTGCGTAGGTCGGCTCTGGCAACGCATTTTCGGCGCAGGTAGGTTGGTAAGAGTGGCGTATGACGATGGAAAAAATATGTGCATCTAGAGCACACGTCATACTCTTTTTAGGTGACAACTGGAAATATTAGATGCAAATTGGGTTTTTAATCAATTGATTCAAAACCGAATAACATATTATGTGATCTCATGCAACTAACTCTGGTAACGAAAATGACGGACAAGTTACATATATGTCATTCCATTGCAACCAATTCTGGACAATAAAAATAGACACATGCCTAAAAATAACCTATAATTTGATTCATGCCGGCAAAAACAGTGCTCTCCTAATATCTAATCTCTGCGAAGACTAATATTTTCTTCTTTTTTTCAATGAAATTTACTTTCGCATGTTTTTATGTAACATCTCCTTTTTACGGTGTTTACTAAAGTTGCATAGGGTCACATATAAGTAACTTTTCTTTTTATGTTTTTATCGAAGTTGCATGGACCTACATATGTGTAACTACCAATTTGGGGGGGGGGGAGCCCCCTGCCGTCCAAAATAAAAATTGGGACTTAATTTTTACAAAGATCTTTCAGAAAAATGTTTTTATTTCAAAATCCGTGATCCAAAACTAATTCATCCATTAGAGGGTTAAACTCGATCCATTTATCGGAGCCATCAATTCGTTTACCGCGCCTCGCAAATTGCTGAGCGGGAAGAATAGCCAAAACCCTTCAAATTTCCGTGCATGCAACACGGACATCCACCGAGCACGAATGGTTGCGTCATGGAAGGAGATCCGAGAGTTAAGGTGGCATTTCATTTCTTGGCGAGTCATGCGTCAGTATTTAAGATCCGGGAGCGTCGCGACGCCCGACGCTGGCACCCCGGCGACAGCTCATTCCCGAAAATCCCCGTGACGTCATCCGGAAGCTCGGTCTCAGGCCCCGGAACTCGAGATGACGACTCGCGTCATCTGAAAAGTCACTCCTGTCACACGGTAAAATACGACCCGAGTTGCAAATATATTCTCATCATCCTCGTCTCTCCCCTTTTGTGTCCATTCCCTTTTGCATTCAGTTATTGCACGCTGAGCATGTTGAAGCGCCGCACAGTGAATCGAGTCAATTAGAGCGGTCGGACATGAAATTTATGACAAAAACGGCAAATTTTGATGTTTAATTCGTCACATTTTAAATTCTAAGGGATGTTTCTGGAAGGAAATTTTACGAGGGAACCAATGGAGCCACTTTTATAATCTCAAATTGCTGTATGAACGGAGTTACGAGCTTTTAAAGTTTTTGTTCGACTTCTTCCATTAACTCGATCCACTGTGCGCCGCTCCCCGCGCAGCGAAAAACGAATTAGGTGGGGAAAATGGCTTAGAAGTGACGAAAGAGATGCGCAACGTGTGTCACCTATGTTATCGTCGTTATTTGTCGAGTTGACTAGAAGAATCGTATTTTGAGATTCTCACGGAAAACTGCCTGTAGTGTTCAGTGGCGAAGCGTGAATGATCGATTATTGATGTTTCCTCATTTGAAGCTACGGTAAAGAATCGACTATTAAGGTGTTTGTTACTAACACCTTGTTCATCGGTCCTTTTTCCATAGATTTAAATGGCAGCTCGATCGATGAGTTGCAAAGCACGCCACGCCACTGCTAGTTTTGTAAAAACTAGTATCATTATTAGGCAAAAAGTAGCGTTAACCTTCTCCGAATTTCACTTTCGCCTCACTAGATTACATTTCTTATAGAGTATTGTTAGTGCAGTATCTTTAAAATATATTGTCTCTGGGCATCAGTAGCTCGTTTTTTAATATGCGTGGACTTAGGTCCCTTCTTCAGTCCGTGCGTGTAAAATAATATGTTTACATTAACAACCTGCCTCATCTGCAATCGATAGATATCTATTATTTTACATGAATTTAAATGGAAGAAACCCGGTATTGCTAACATGCGGGCATCGCTAGTGATTTGTCTAGGCAGAGGCAATGACCCTCCATTGATATCTTTTCAATAGTGGAAGTTTTTACTTTCGGGACTCGAAAATTCAACGGTTGACTTACCTACTGGATGGATGTTGAACAACCGGTTGGGTCGTTCGTTTCGCAAACATTCCGAAGTTTTGGAAACTCGTTTGGCTCATTACGTCACCTGAAGTTAATCATTCATAGTAAGTAGGTCAACAACCAAAAAAGGGTGATGACTATGTTGCTCCCTTAAGGAAGTGTCCCCCTGTCCGCGTCCCCGAAGTTGAGGTCATATGCATCTCTGAACTCTTCGGATCACGTATCCGAAAACTTGAGGTCCAACTGCCGAAGTTCGGGTCAGATATCTGAAGTACTTCGGTATATGCACCGGAGTACTTCAGATGTGTGGCCCGAGCCCTTCGGTATACACCGAAGTGCCTCAAATGTTTGACCTGAACTTCGGCAGTTGGACCTCAAGTGCTCGGATGCGTGATCCGAAAACTTCAGAGATCCATATGACCTCAACTTCGGGTCCCATGCACGAAGTTTTTCTTCTCCGAGCAACCCCGAAAGTAAAAGCTTCCATTCGCATATGAGAAAGCCGTAAGTGCACAAAAAATGACATAGTTTTTTTCAAGACGGCCGTAGGTGCATGAGAGCCAATGAAAACAGTGCTTTCAAGAGGAATTCCGCCCTCATATGCCGATTTCTAACCTGAAAATGTGTTTGTTGTGCGTCCAAAACGCAACCACGAAAGCATGCAGAAGATAGCACTTACGGCTGTCTTGCCTAACAATAACCTAGCAGGAAAATAAAAAAAATACCCTTTTTATGTAATGGAAATAAAATCAGTCGATTTTCAATCATCCACACGATTTCTAGCAGTCCTCCGGACGATTAGGCTTCTTTCAACACAATTTTCCGATCAGAAGCTTCTGAGCCCGTTTTCTCAGAACTTCATTTTTGCACTTATGGCTCTCTTCGCTATCACGGCAGTTTTGTCTCTATGTTTGGGCGAGACTCGGCTTTTCATTGGGTACATACTTGAAGTGGCCATTGCCGAAGAGTTCGGCGGTGGTGTTAGCCTGATTCATGAGCCCGGAAATGTTGTAGAGGGCCGTGGCCTGGACGCGCTCGAACTCCAACTGTACGTCTGACTTCATCCGCCGGAGGTCCACAGCCAGATTCCGCACGTACAGCTTTGAGAAGTTGTCCACGTTGAATCCGTGCAACGACCCGCTCACACTGCAAACATTCCAGCCTTATAATAACCATTTCACTGACGAATGGAAATGTTGTATGTGTGAGGAATTTGCGATTTGACTGTTGATTCTTATGTCAAAGTTCGCGAGAAACACGATGTGGCCACTGGTTTTCACTGATATTAACTCCTACGCTCAAAAAAAGCTCTCAAGTTGAGGCCAAAATGGAGGGGATATCCCACGCTATCCTGAGAGTCCACGTCTACATCAAGACAAACTCTCCATGCAAAGATAGGGAACAAATACATTGACAGGGCTGCCACTTTATTTGGGGACTCTAAAATTGAAAACACGGAATCACAGCTAATGTATTTGCTCCCTATCTTTGCATGGAGAGTTTGTCTTGATGTAGATAGAGGTGGGCTCTCAGGATAGCGTGGGCTATCCCCTCCATTTTGGCCTCAACTTGAGAGCTTTTTTTGAGCTTGGGAGTTAATATCAGTGAAAACCAGTGGCCACATCGTGTTTCTCACGAACTTTTACATAAGAATCAACAGTCAAATCGCAAATTCCTTACACATACAACATTTCCATTGGAGAGTGATAATTTTTGGCGTATCCAGCGAATCGACAACATTGTTCCTTTCCCATTCAAACCTATGGAAATGTATCGATTCTTGGAGGAGCCAAGTGTTCCGACAAGAATCGATTTTTCCACGTAGGTTTAGTGGAGAAGAACCGGTGTTGCCAAATTGCAAGATCCGTCTCTGATGATAATAGACATATTGCAGGCAATTATCGTCAAATCGGGTGTTTTCATTAAATGCATAGGCAGATACGCAAATTTTGACGGAGCCAACGAAACTTTGTTTTAATACGAAAAACAAGTGCGTTTTCTATACTTTGGAAAAATGCCTCATCAAATCTCCGAACTCTCCTTGTTCCTTAATCCTCTTCAAACGCTCCTCATATATTTAAATATATTAAAAGAGTAAATATTCTATGTTTTTTGACATGCGTCAAAGAGCCTCCCAAAATTTCGCCCCTTTTGCGGTACCTATTCGATTCGACTATCGAACCAAGGTTCAAGTGGAAGCTTATAATAACAGATAACTCAGGAAAAAATTTCAAGATGAGTATAAAAACCGTTTTCGAGTTACGGGAGGAAAAAGGGGTCAATCTCCATCAGCAGTTTCAATAATTTCACGTACTGTGTAATAATTTCTCGCGAGATTCGCGTTTTTTGGCACTAATAATCGACACTTCATCTGGAGATACGCATTTTTGCAATTAGAGTTTTAAACTTGTTGGTGGATTTGGATCATTTATAGACTTAAAAAAGGGTTTCACACTTAAAAATCCTTATCAGATAAGGTTTAGTTGGTCATCCACCCATCCATGCTTTACGATATCCTAATTGACCAGTGGACTAAGTACCTTTTTTTCAGTTTTCATTATTCACAATTGGACCACATTTTGCAATTGGGAACTATAATTTCTGACTCAGTTTAGAAATAACTTATGAGTCATTAGTTTCCCGAAGCACAAAAGTGTTTTTAAGGATGAGCCAGAAATTTTATTTCCTAATTGCAAAATGTAGTCCAATTAATCAAAAAAAGCTCATTTTATCCGTGCGAAACTCTTTAAATGGGCCTGTTGCATGCAAGAGATACAGCCCTTGCGAGTAGACTTTTCAGAGGTTAAATGACACGAAAATTACGATGGTCACATTGAAAAAGTCTGAAATACACTCCTTACTGCGCAATTTGCGTTGTTAGGAACGCGCTTTTTCAAATTTCCCGCGTCTGGGGGCAATTTTCTAACGGAAACAATTAACGGCAACTCGCGGCTATTTCCGGTCAACTAAAACTGACAACATAACCTGAAAATCGGAGCTCGTGATATCGTGAAATGAAATGTAGGAGGATTGCGTTGGATTTTAAAAGTTGATCGATTTGGTTAGCACATAAAGCGTATATGGACCACTATAAGAGATCACGTTGGGTTTGTAAACAAACTGAGGGAAAAAATAACAACAACAACAACTACGACTCGGCATCTTCCGGAAATCACCGAGCCCGCCGTTTGCTCGTTTCCGGTGATTAGAAAACTGCCNGAAATAACTTATGAGCCATTAGTTTCCCGAAGCACAAAAGTGTTTTTAAGGATGAGCCAGAAATTTTATTTCCTAATTGCAAAATGTAGTCCAATTAATCAAAAAAAGCTCATTTTATCCGTGCGAAACTCTTTAAATTCACAACCGCTATTGAGTAAGTTGCGATCTTCTAAACGGCGCATCTTTCAGTTTCCCGTCAGAATACGATGACCGAACCAAGGGACTTAAAATACACAATCTCATCCAGCCGCCTGCGCTCTCTTCTTTGAGAAGAGACGTAGAGACCAAAAACAATCGCATTATTTTTTCAAAATAATATTCCTCAGCATTTTACAAATATGCGGCTCGATTTGAAACTTAAAATTATGAACTTTTTGGTCAACATCATTGTACAAGGCCACTCAGAATGGATACACAAGAGCGCCTTCAATTCAATCAATACATTTACTGCAAAATTCTGATACCACTATTCGTGCGTCACGGCAGTCACTTTGCATACCCGCCCATTTGAAGGCGATTCATTGACATCAGGCAACGAGGTACGAATAACAGCAATATCATTCGATATGTGGGTTGCTTGTCACTAAGAAGCCAAAGCCGGGGGTCAGCCCCTGACCGCTAAGGAGCCATGGCCGGGGGTCAGCCCCCTGACCCCTAAGGAGCCAAAGACGGGGGTCAGCCCCCTGACCCCTAAGGAGCCAGAGCCGGGGGTCAGCCCCCTGACCCTTAAGAAGCCAAGGCCGGGGGTCCGCCCCCTGACCCCTAAGGAGCCAAAGCCGGGGGTCAGCTCCCTGAACCCTAAGGAGCCGTGGCCGGGGGTCCGCCCCCTGACCCCTAAGGAGCCAAAGCCGGGGGTCAGCCCCCTGACCCCTAAAGAGCCATGGCCGGGGGTCCGCCCCCTGACCCCTAAGAAGCTAGAGCCGGGGGTCAGCCCCTGACCCCTAAGGAGCCAAAGCCGGGGGTCAGCCCCCTGAACCCCAAGGAGCCAAAGCCGGGGGTCAGCCCCCTGACCCCTAAAGAGCCAAAGACGGGGGTCAGCCCCCTGACCCCTAAGGAGCCAGAGCCGGGGGTCAACCCCCTGACCCCTAAGGAGCCATGGCCGGGGGTCCGCCCCCTGACCCCTAAGGAGCCAAAGGCGGGGGTCAGCCCCCTGAACCCTAAGGAGCCATGGCCGGGGGTCAGCCCCCTGACCCCTAAGAAGCCAAAGCCGGGGGTCAGCCCCCTGACACCTAAGGAGCCAAAGACGGGGGTCAGCCCCCTGACCCCTAAGGAGCCAAAGCCGGGGGTCAACCCCCTGAACCCTAAGGAGCCAATGGCGGGGGTCAGCCCTTGGCCCCTAAGGAGTCAAAGGCGGGGGTCAGCCCCCGACCCCTAAGGAGCCAAAGGAGGGGTCAGCCCCCTGACCCCTAAGGAGCCAAATACGTGGGTCAGCCCCCTGACCCCTAAGGAGCCAAGGTTGGGGGTTAGCTCCCTGACCCCTAAGGAGCCAAAGGCGGGGGTCAGCCCCCTGACCCCTAATGTGTCAAGGGTTGGGGTCAGCCCCCTGACCAATACACCCAATCTATTCGTGTTTAATCAATAAATTAATTCCTTTTAAAGTAAAGAAAGGAGATCGAAAGTGGGAATATTATGCATTGAATTTAATCATACGTCATCATCATCAGGCTCTTCTTCTTTGATACATGGTGCCAGGTAGCACACTCGCGAGTTTGTGAAATGTCGTCAATAATGTGTGTTATGTTTGGTTAAGCAACTAATTTAACTCTCTGGCAAAGCGGAGAGTATTGCTGGATTTGAAGGCGTAATTTGATCTCTGCGACCTATACACTGATAAATATTTCAGAGATATTTATTTCTATCTTCGAGTTTACATGTACTTTTCTTACATATAATCAGCATGTGTGTTTATTTTTTGTTTCTGGTGCATCCCACGGAATTCTCGGATTCAAATGTCGATGCTCTTCCTGGACAACGCAAATCGTCGAATAAAAAATTGGGATCTTTCAATTAATCGGGACACTTGATTCACTTAACTGAATCTTTAAATTGTCTGGAAACTTAAATTTACCACAAATCATACTCGACCGAAAACCTGATCTAACCCTGCTAACCAAAACTTTACTCAACCGGTGATCTTACCCACCGGAAACTTAAATCAATCGACCAATCGTCCGGCCGAATTTACTCAATCGGAAATCGAGAACCTTAAACTCTGCTCGACCGGAAACGTGCTCCAATCGAAAACTTGACCCAACTGGAAATTCGATCCAACCTGAAATCTGACCCATCCCAAAATTCCAATTCACTGGAACCGTAATCTATCCGTATATGACGTGACCGGAATAAATTATCCCAACTGGAAATTATTTCCAACCGGTAACGTGTCCCTGTCGAAAATTTCACTCGACTGAAAATTTGATTCGATCGGAAATCTGACCGACCGGCAACCACAATCAACGGGAATCCTTATCCCCCCGAAATTTCACTTGACCGGAAATCGAAAATGTTAATTTCTACTCGACCGGAAATGTGCCCCAATCGAAAACCTGACTCAACTGGAAATCGACCCGACCGGAAACGTGTTCATACCTAAAATTCGGTTGTTCTCAGATGGAGAATAACCAATTTCAATATCAATATATCATTAATATTCCTAATAAATCCGAAAAATTCGATATAAGCGATTGATATATCGACTCGTTAACGTTAAAAATCAATTCTACAAGAAAAAATACGTAGGTGTCGGTGTACTACAGTCATAATAGGTGCATTTAGTCATCCATGATTCACAAATGAACAATTTCAATCTCAAAAAATCGTCGATTTTCCGTAAAGAATCTTAAAAAATGGATATATCCGATCGATATATCGACTTGTCAACATGAAAACTCGAATTTACGTGTAAAAACACGTAGGAACCGGTGTGTATATCATATGTAAACAACGATAACAACCCCGTTGACACATCAATTCAACAAGAAAATAGCGAAAAATAAGGCCGGAGTTTAACCCCTTTGCCCCCCCTAACTCGAAAACGGTTTTTATACTCATCTTGAAATTTTTTCCTGAGTTTTCTGTTATTTTAAGCTTCTACTTAAACCTTGGTTCGATGGTTGAATCGAATACCGAAAAAGGGGCGAAAGTCAGCCCCTATTTTGGGAGGCTCTTTTAAGATAAATGTTCGTTCAAGAGCTAAAAATCGTTTGAAATACTAGCCTATGATGCATATTTTTACAAATATTTCTTTCTTACATGATCGATGAAGTATTTTGTCTAAAATTAGCAAAAGAATCAGAATTCAAATCTAAGAAAAATATTTGACGGTTTGCCTAGTCCTTTGACATATTAGCTGATTGGACTATTTCCCCGCCACAGACATAATTCTGAAGGAAATTATTAGATTACATTTGATGACTTATAATGAATACCGGGCCAAGTGCCGAAAAGTTGTTTAAAGTTATTCACACTGATATTTCCATCAAGTGCGCCGGCACATACGGCTTAATACTAACGCTACTTATCGAACGCCATACACACTGCTTAAATGTGAATGGTAATTTTATCTAGTAAAATTTCAATCACATCCTTCTAGGAGTGGAGGTAATCTGTTCCTACGAGACGCCACATACTTCAATTTTAATCACTACCGCAATGAAATCGTCACCTTCCGGCCAAACTATCACAATCGCCATGCGACATTTCAAAATTTCCGCCACTACTTTATTTTTTTACTGAAAAATTTTTGGTTGAATCTGTTAGAAAATTTCACTGAATTTTATCGTCAGCAAAAGGAAAATTCGGTGGAATTTTCGGGCAGTTTCGTTGAACAATTTCTTCGGAAAAACATAAAATGGCGGAGGAAATTTTGAAACGTCGCATGGCGCTTGTGATACTTTTGCCGGAAGGTAACTGAAAAGTGAGCGTTGATGAAATGGGCTTTCGCAGAGTAGGAGTTACAACCTCCTATCGGGAAGAGTTTAGCGAATTTATCCTAGTTTAAACTCACTTTAGTCCGAGATCGGGCTCGAAAATGTCGTATTCGAGATAGCCTATGTAGAGAGGGTCCAGTTTCCGGACGAGACCGGTAAGTGTGAGATCTGTCACCATGTTGAGCAGACTCCGATTGAGGATGCAGCTGACCATCTTGGCCATCGTCTCTCGCTCTCCGAAGTCGGCCCTTTCATCTTCTGTAATAGACAAAAAAATTCAAAGCTAATATGCAGAAAAAACAAGTATTCATGTATCATACAGTCACATGAGTGTATCATTTCCACTAAATTTCAAAGGTATCCTCGCGATATACATTGAACCCACTTTAACATGGACCTCTCAGGTTCATTTTGAAGATAAATCATGTTGGGAGTACTTTTGGATTCAACTGGTCGTAAATTTTCTCCTGCCGAAAATTCAACGTCGCGGAAGAATATTGTAACGTGAAGGTAGTCGTAAAACTCTGTTCGGAATTTTATAAAAAAATACCACGGAAAAATAGTTTCCAAATGTTTTTGTAGGGTTTTCTGACCACGAATTTTTTCCACGCCCTTCGTCCGTCTATCCGTCCTTCAGCTCCGTAATCAATCAATTTTACATTGGTTGTGATCAACATTTGCGTTCAGACAGGTGATTAGTGTGAGAAATTGTATAAAAGACAAAACTGTTAACTGTCAGCCTTTTACTATTTTTTTAAATCAAACTCAAAATAAAATGATTCACGTAAGTGAGACGCTACGCCACTAGTGCACGGCAGTGCGCAGAGTTTTTATGAACGGTTAAGAAGGAAAATGAAATTGTAACATTTTGAAACTTTCCGGTGTTTTTCTTTTTCTTTTATCCTCTGTTTTGTGCAGCCTTTCCCCAATTTAAGTTTTTATGCTACTTTGTTTAGAATTAATTTGGATTCCACGCTATTTCCCTTCGACAAAGGCTCAATTCAAGCTTTGATCGTGTTTCTAGTTTCCGAATGATCTTGCGATCAAATATGTGAAATATCATAACGGAAGAGTTGGGGTTTTCGGTCATCTACTTGCCTCCGAAGAGCAAGGTGAAAGCGCCTTCAATTTCGATTCATGCAAATTGCGCGTCACATCTCGAATAGCAAGTGTTGTGCTTATTGAGAGGCGCGCTAATCCAACGAGCGGACTTATCATATAAATTGCAACATTTTTGTCGACCGTTATCAGCAACAGTACCGACAAGCTGTACCGTTCTGCCACAAGAAGCCCCACTCAGAATTGAGGGGCTTGGAGGATAAGGCGCATTAGTGCAGTTCTTGCTATTTCAAGAAATACGCGCTTGAAGTTTAAAAATTACATGGAACCATGTGATGGAAAGAATGTTCCAACTCACTTTTTGATGCTTAAAAATTGGACTTTCGCGATGAACTTTTCACAGAGTGTAAATAAATACTAGTGTTTCTTGAAATCATTGATTTCTCACTTTTCTCAAAAACATCACTTATCCCCTTGTCTTTTAAGCCTCTAAATTATAGTAATGAAGCTAAAAACTTTTTTCTTCCGCAAAAAAGTAACTTCAAGTATTCAAGTTGTACTACTAAATCAGATTAAAAATGACTGAGTCATGAATTTAAAATAAAAGTAAAGAAATATACAAAACCTGCTCTTTTAGGATCCTGTTTTAGCATTAAGGTCTCCGGTTTTACGCATTGCTACAATGCTACACGCATGGACATTGCTTCGTTAGGAAGGCCTGTGGCTGTGGAATTACTATACTTTTGAATATTCAAATTCAAGAATTAACGCTCTTAAAAATGTTTGGATTTTTACTTTTTTCCTCCTCGTCATGAAACAACGAGGGGAATTTCAAGGTATTCATTTATTACAATCTACCACAAACTTGCTCTGATGTATAAAACAGCCATTTCATTTTAACATATAATTTTCGGAATAGAGAATTTGCAGGTGTCTGAAATTTGATGAATTTCGTGTTTTAAGTGGAAACTACTGAGTAAACTGAACACGAGGAAAAACTTGGTTCACAAATTGAACAATTATTGGAGAAGATACGACAATTAGACTGATCTAATCTGCAAAATACATGTGTTCAAATGGGAAATGCCGCCAGATGACGTCACTAGGCGGTGCATTTTCTCACTTTTAAATATATTTTTATACTATTTCCCATATCAGAAAAAAATTATGAAAAATACTGTCAACTCAGCTCTTTAGGCATTTCCAGATGAAGCAATAAAGAATGTGCGTGCAAACTCTATCCATTCAATGTGGTCACTAAGAACGCAGCTACTTTAACTCTAAAGTGTGTATTTGGCCTATTTGAGGAGAATGAAGGCGCATCACTTTCTACAACACAGCCATAGAAGCATTTCGACGGTGTAAGTCGGCAATCACATAACTCGATTTGCGACGTCGCAGACTTCCTATCATACATCTTAATATCTAATTTGAAAAATAGAATAAAATTGTGAATCAACCACTGTACTAATTGCGAGGGGCGTCGGTTCATTTGAAAGGTGTTGTTCTCAATGCTTCGGGAAAACTATAAATTATTTTCTGGGGTTCGTCCCCGATTTTTAAATCCCTAAAAACTCATAAATTGGATGAGGGGAAGTGGGGTTTTTTTTGTTTTTCGGAAAAGTTTTGTTGCTACGCATCTTACTTTACTGTTTGCTGTCTTTTTATCAGCTGTTTTC